ACTCTTGTTCCAGGTGATAACAACAATACATTTGGAAATAACAAGTTCTGATTGTAAAATAACACGTCTGGAATAAAAATTTAACAATATGTTTTTTTTATAATAATAAATTTGTTGCAGGTAATAACAACAATACATTTAAAAATAACAAGTTCTGATTATAAAATAACAAGTTTGGGATTAAAATTTAACAACACGTTTTTTTTTATAACAATACACTTTGTTTCAAGTGATAACAACAATACATTTAAAAATAACAAGTTCTGATTATAAGATAATAAGTCTAGGATTAAAATTTAACAACACGTTTTTTTATAACAATTAATTATTTTATACTTTTAAAAAATAAATTATTATAACTTATAAAAAATATTTTTAATATATTTATTTCTCTAAAAAATAATTTTTAATCTGTATATCTATACAACTCATTATAAATCAAACTACTTCTTATAAATTATAAAGTATTTATAATAAGGCATTTTTAATCTATTAATCATAGTATAAATTTTATATTATTTCATTCTTTAAATATTAAAAATAGTTTTTATATTTAAAGAATAAAATAGTATTTTTAATTATAAATTAGAGATAAATTTCATTTATAAATTAAGCAGTCAAAAAGTATTTTTAATCCACAATAAATTGTACTATTTATAATTTATAAGAATTAGTTTGATTTATAATAAGTTGTATAGATATATAGATTAAAATTTTTTTAAAAAAATTAAAAAAGTGTGTTGCCATTTTCCCTAAATTTTATTTATAAATTTGAACAATAAAAAAGTATTTTTAATCTATAAAAAATTATACTTCAAGTTCTGATTATAAATTAGAGATAAAAATTATTTTTTTAGCAAATTAAATAGATTACAAGTACTTTTTATAAGTTATAAATAATTTATTTTCCAAAAGTATAAAATAATTAATTGTTATAAAAAAAAAAGGTGCTGTTGAATTTAATTCCAGACTTATATATTTATAATCAGAACTTGTTATTTCCAAATGTATGTTGTTTTCACCTGAAACAAAGTGTTTGTTATAAAAAAACATGTTGTTAAATTTTAATCCCAGACTTATTATCTTATAATCAGAACTTGTTATTTTTAAATGTATTGTTGTTATCACTTGAAACAAAGTGTATTGTTATAAAAAAAAACGTGTTGTTAAATTTTAATCCCAAACTTGTTATTTTATAATCAGAACTTGTTATGTTTAAATATATTATTGTTATTACCTGCAACAAAATTTATTGTTATAAAAAAAACATATTGTTAAATTTTTATTCCAGACGTGTTATTTTACAATCAGAACTTGTTATTTCCAAATGTATTGTTGTTATCACCTAGAACAAGAGTAAATGAGTTAACTTATTTTTTTTTTTGTATCATAATGTTAACAAAAATTTGTTGGCTCAATGGTCATTCCTTATTTTGGGAAGCATTAGGTTGGGGGATCAAATTCCCCCAACCTCACTTTCCCCACTATTTAAAAAAAAAAGTTGCAAAAAAAAAAAACAAAGGAAGGCCGCCGGAAGCGGCCGCCGGTGCCGGAGCTCCGGTGACCGGACCCCGACGTCCGGCGTCGACAGTGGCCAGAAGCGGCCACCAGAGCCCGGTGAGGCAGTGGCTTTCTTTTAAAAAAAAAAAAAAATTAAAGAGGGTATTTTGGTAATTTGACCATGATTTCATAATTATAATTTGAAACCGAGTCCCTCATGGTAATTTGGCATATTCAGGTGACCATAGAGTGATTTTGCTAATTCGAGGGTCTTTATTTGTGATTTCCCCTAAAACAATTTTTTTTTTGAAAAACACATTATTTGTAGATAGACGAGTGACGGAGTGAGAGGGTAATAGGCAATCAATGAAGTGAGACATAACTCACAATTAATATAGACAAAAATAAAAAATGATATTGATTTCTTCTCTAGTCTTATTTATAGAGCAGAGAGAAAAAAATATTTTTTAGTCCTATTTATAGGATATTGAAAGATTTTTTTATATAGATATACAATTTTATCCTTCATTTATTATTATGTTGATTTTTTTATATGATATATAATATATATTAAATAGGAACAAAATTAGAAAATTGTTGAATTTTAAATGAGAATTAATTAAGTTTAAGTTTTTTTTTTGTCTGTGTGAAACATGTTGGAAGTGATTTATAAATATAACCAGAGGAGTAAAATTTTAAACAGATTATTAGTTTTTTTTAATAAATAAGACCAAGCTATCTTTAAAAACATTTGTTGTATATAAAATCAGAGGAAGTATAATGTCTATTGCCGCACTAATATTGCGCTTTCCAAGCTACCTACCACTCATCCAATAAAAAGTCAAAAACACCATTATCTCCCTTGCTTTCTATTTTCATTCATGGGGGCAAACAAAAATTAAAAAAAATCATTATCTTCTTCTTGTTTTTTTTTTCGGTGTATCTATTTATACATATATGTAACCCGACATAAACTATTTTAGGCGAAAAATTTTAAAAATTACAATCGTTCTAACTAATGAGACAGATTTGCAAGTGAGGGGCTATATATGGCTAGAGAGTAATAGAGTTGAGCCTTTCTGTGGAGGCAAAGAAATTTTTAAAAAAATGAAAATACTAGTGGGGAAAAAAGTGTGGAGAATAAAAAGATAGTCCATGTAAATTTTTTTCAACACAAACATTTCTTAAATCTTATGGATTTTTAAGTATTTTTCAAAATGAATTTGAAAAAACAGTACGAAGATTTTTTAATCCTATATAAATAAACACTCTCTCATATTAAATACTATTTTTTTAATTTTGATTTTAATTTTTACTTTTTATTTTTAATGATTCGTACCGATAATACTTAATATCTTCATAAGAATGCACCTCTGCATCCCAGGATTTGACTTTCCGTCATTCTTAGTCCACCATCTGCATGTGTCGCATATCACGTCATCTCGATCTAGATTTTTCTACCATTAATTGAAACTTTTCTTTATAAGAATTGTAGGCCACACTGACTTACGCTACGAACACAACCTTAAACCCTTCACGCAAACATCTGCTCTGCCTGAAAGCTTCGTGATTCGGAAGGACTCGCATTACGAGCATCGGAACATGGCTTTGTCCAGATTTTCCGACACTTCCACGGGAATCAACGCAGTCTACATATGGTAATTCTCTTTTCTTCTATTCTCACGGTGCCTCTCTCTTCTTTATAGGCATGAATTTGCGTGCAGAAAGATACTAAATTGAACAACACGGCCCCATCATCTTCTCCCGCTTCTCGTATTCATTAACTTCTCCAACTCATTGTTTCACTTGTCTCTCCCTCTCACTCTGCTGCTGCGGCGGCGCCCTCCGTCAACATGGACGGAGCACTCTTGCCGTTGTATCTGTCTCTCCCGACGTAGTTGTCTTGCCGTCTCAGGTGAGTCTATATTTACTGATTTTGGCGTCTACATGATCGACGATCTCAAGGGTAGGTGTTTGAGACCACCAAGATGTGAAATGGATGCACACTTATCTCTGTGCTTCAATTGAGTGAGGGGCTGCATCAGCCGCCATTGTCACGCGCGAGAGAGGAGAAGGAGTTCTCCGCCTTGCTAAGCTTGGGGTCTGCTCCAACCCAATGGGCTTTGACGGCAACGACTGCGTCGACGGAGACCCATATAACGACGGCAGACCTTAAATCGACCATAATCTTCTTCCTTCAGTTGTCCCTGTTTTCCCCATCTTTTCGGCTTCTTTTTTATTCTCAACGGTTGGAATCCCCTCATTTCTGTCATCTCTCTTGCTTTCTTTTGGAATTATCAAGTTATAGTTGCCTTATGTTATTGTCGTTGGCTTTTAATTCCCGGCAACCTTAATCGATGCGATTCTGTGTACTAAAATGACACTGATTTATTGCTGCCGTACTTTTCAGGTACCTTCCATAGATAATTCATTCATTATCTCTGAACCCCTCTTTTTACCTTCCATTATTATAGGATCGGCGAACGAGGATTCAGTGGGGGCCTGCAGAGCGAAGCAAGGGTAAACCGCTGCTTTCTTTCTTCTTCTTCTTTTCTTAATCCACCAGAAAAGAATTGCGTTTTGTTTTGGTTTACTGATGTAGGCATAAAATGTTGTTGGTGTTATAAAGACCCTCCCTGCAGGCCCTGTTAGTGGCCCTTCCAATCTGCCCAGGTGGGATCATCCCAGTGGCCTCACCCTGCAGTAAGCGTTTTTTCCCTTATTGATAAGTGACTCTACCTCAATTTATAGTCCTATTAATTAATAGATGTGTGACAAATGCAACCAATGATTAAAGAACCGGACCGGACCGGACGGTCGGACCGGTTGAACCGTCACCCGGACTCGTTAACGGCTCGGTTTGGACCAAAAAACCGTTCACATAGTTGAGCCGGATTGGACCGGAGTTGAGCCGTTATTAAGCCGGAAACCGGAGTTGGACCGGGAACCGGAACGGTTTTCAGAAAATCGGACGGTTTTTTAGCCTGACTGAAAAATACTAAAAAATTTTAAAAAATAGAAGAAGAAAAATAAAAAATTGATCCCCTTAAATATCCTAATATATTTTTAGACTAGTTATAACCATATAGTATTATTTCATTGAAAATTTCATATATTGTGGTGTTAAAATCATGAGTCGCTAGTCTTTTTGTTTCGATATTTGATCTATCTTTTAAAAAAATATTTTGATTTGAATGAATTGATAATTTCTAATATCATTAAATATTTTAAACATACATAAATTAAATATATAAGGTTTTAGTCATTTTCAATGATTTTATTATAATTTTAGATTATTTAAATGCATTTCTAAATTATTTAATAATTTGATATTTTTCATATATACTAATTATATGTATATAATATTTTTTTAAATTAATTATTGCGTCACCGGTCTGATCGAACGGTCCGACCGATCCGACCGATTGAACCATGACCCGTTGATCTTTCCGGTTCGACTTCCGGTCCGGCTTTTAAAACATTGAATGCAACAGCCCGAGGGCAGTCTTCAATGGTCCATTTAAAGGGTTTGATATCTTGGTGAGTTTGTATTGTTTTTATCAAGCTTTTCTAAAGGTCATTATGCATTTTTCCCAACATTTATGATGATGATTGATGACTTGATCTTTAGGTCATTTGTGATGCATACTCTCCTAATGGAGAACCCTTCCACACAAACAAGAGATATGATGCTGCAATAATATATTGTCATCATGATGTTGCTACTCAATACCCTTGGTATATATCATTCGTTGCTTAATGTCTCATATATTCAACAAGGATGTTTGGCTAAGAACTTATTTTCCTTTCTTTACAAACCTATGTTTTGGTTTCATGTGGCAATAGGATTGTTATTCAGCAAGAATACGCCTTGGTGCCACTTGATGGTCAATCTCCTGCATCTCAGGTGAATTTTTCTTTGGAAAATAATGACAAATGAGGATCCGGTTAAGCCATTAATTTTAATTACAAACCTCTAATTATTGAAGTTTCATGGGAGGATCACTAGAAGACGACGTCATTCTTAAGTTGCCTGGCTTTCTCAAGTGGCTTGCCTAAAATTCACTTATGGAATTAATTTGAGCTTTCTTTTCTTGCCAGCGGATCACTGAAGTTTCATAAAATCAAAACTGCAAATTCTAGATAAATGACTTTTGAAAATCAGGAAACCCATTTGGGAAAGAGTTTGAAGGACCAGTACCGGGAGACACAACTCCTTCCAATTAAGTGTTAACTAGTTTTCCAATCTATGTGAAATTGACAACTGATTTTATGCAATCTACTACTTGCAAAAATCAATTAATCCACTTGGGAATGGTGCCGTTTCCCATTGGTCCTTCAATGACATTTCAATAATTTGATGTATGCAATTAGAATTATTGATGACTTAAGAGAGTCTTTAATTATCTTACCATTTTTAATTGTTTAGATAAAAACTAAAAATAAAAAATGTCCTGTAATCTGGAAGGCCATGTAGTTGAATTTTTCACCCATTCTATACATATCTCTCTCATTTTGACAGGGACAATGTTACCCTGATGCTGGTGCTGTCAATGATATTGTGAGAGAACATTATAGTGCCTGCTTATCTGCTGGCATCGGCATTAGCGGAACTAATGGAAGAATCCCTGATAACGTATACTATAACCTTTCTCCTATAATATGATTTTTTTTAGTGATATTTATAATATAATTTTACCTTTTAATTACTTTCTAAATCCTAGCTAATTTAACTCATTCTTCAACTTTTTTTGTAGTGCAAGTTCCAAGTGGGCAAGGTATATATTTTAATGCAACTATCTCCTTATTAATCATACTTTACTCTTTGTTGTTGGTTATTTACTTACAAATAGGTGCTCCCTCCCGTCCATAAAGTCACTTCCAACTAATTCACTAAAACCAAAATGTGATAGCTGATTCAGTAAATTTGTCTTAATTTGAAAATAAAAATATCTAGCTTTACTCATATTAAATGATTTTTTGACAGAGAAAAAAATATAATTACAAGGATAAAATTGGCAAATAAGCATCAATTATTTTGCTAGTGACTTATTGTGGACCAAAAACTTCTTCTATAAATGACTTATATTGCGGACTGAAGGGAGTATTAATTATTAATTACTATTAAAAATTTCCTATTAATCCTATCCGTTATGTTTTCAACCTCTTATGCAGTGGGGTTTTGCGGATGGAATCTTCGTTGCTGATCAGTTATGTGCTGCTCATTTCATTTTAAAGGTATCTTAGGCCTACTGATAGCTAGTCACTTAGTTACTCTGTCGTCTTCTGACATCGTTTTACTCTCAATACTTTAACTATTTTTGCTATTTCTATGGAGTAGGTGATAGCTGAGAGGCACAGGATGTTGGTTTCCTTTGAACCCAATGCAATTCTGCAGGTATTTAAAAAGCCTTCCATGGGGAATTGTATTTTCCCTTCATTTTATCTGAAATGTTTTAGCACAACTTCTTCAGAAGTTGTTGTCTCAAAGTGAGTCTTGGGGTCCTTCCATAGCTTTAGGTTATTCTTGGAATAGTTAGAATTGTTGGGTTAAAGTGCATTCAGCACTTCAAAATATTTTTTTTTAGGTGCATCCAATATCTCAAAATCTTTTGTGATCTAGCATCTTGAAGTAGTGCTTAAGTGCATCCAGTACCTTGAAGTGTTTTTCTTGCTTTTGATGCTGGATACACAAAAAACTATTTTTGGGCATTGGATATACCTAAAAAATATTTTAGGGTGTTGGTTGCACCAAAAAATACTTTAGGGTGTTGAACACATATAAAAATATATTTTAAGTTGTTGGATATACTACAAAATATTTTAGAATGCTAGACACAGCTGAAAAAATATTTTGGGATACTAGATACACCTCAATCATAGGATGTTAGCTGTAGCCTTAAAATTGCCATCGTGTAGTTTATTGTAATGCTAGTTGCAGTTAGTGTTCAATAAGGTTTAAAATAGTGTCGATAATGGTGCTGATCTGCTGGATATAGTCTGCGTTGCTACTGTTTTATTTGCTGTATATGAAGAATTGAAATGCCTATTCTTCAGATTCTGGCCATATAGAGATACAGAAAATTAATTCTAAAAATTTACGTTGGTATTCAGAGAATTCAATTTAGATAATAAGATTATCTACACCGGTTTTTGAGAAACATCGATGTACATCGTTGCTTTTATTGTGACCAATGTAGATAAGTTTATATATGTCGCTTTTAGGACCAACATAGACGAGTATACGTACTGCAATACTTGAAATTAAGTTCCTGCCAAATGCGACGTAAAAAGTCCCTCCACATATGATGTGAGTGTAAAAAATCCTGCTTACAGGAATGCCTGTTAAAACTAGAGTACTTCAAATGGAGCTGGTTTTGTTGCAAATTAAACCTAGCTATTGGATTTGTCTCTTATATAAAGGATATTCCTTGGATTAAATATTGACTCTTGCCATTTGGGTTTTCTTACAAATCAAAACCAGACTACTTCAAATGAAGCTGGTACGCCCATATGGCTCAGGTAAGTGTTATTACCAGTGAAAGAATTCTTGAAATTCTTGTTTGATTTCTTTATGCATGACAAGTGCTTAATAATATGACAGTACCTTATCCATGAGAAAAGTTGGAGGCTATGAGGACTCCCAGTTCAAAGTTTTAAAGCTGATGATGAAGCACATGGATGACATAGCAGCTAGAGATGAAGGGAATGGCTTGGAGGGTATTAGGGTGCTGAGAACTGTCTTTCAGGTAAGTAGCGCAATGAGAGTGATGTATAATATATCATCACATCACTGGGCATTTCTTGCGATTCAGTGTTTTCATGGCCGTCAACCACGCATGTCGTAATTTTCTTTTATTTCAACCCTTCCTTAACTGGACTCAGATATCCTAGGTTAATCTAGTTCAACTTTTGGATTCAACTTCTTACTTTTCTGAGGAAAAAAATTCTTCGATGCATTTCCTCTGCATAAACAACAAAGTTATTTGAAAAGATTACGCATGCAGGCCTACGACATCGTCCACATTTGACATGATGAAAAAAAATCCTATACGCATTACCTTGCTTTTGCAAATGACATCATAAATATTTTGGGCTATTCAGTAAGTGGCAATACTATGGTTTCACAACCAAAGATCAAAACTTTTTAATAATTTCTGTTTCTCGCACAACATTTTTGAGATTTCTTAGATGTATGCGTCACAGGCTAAACCTTCAAATGTAATGTTGAAACCAACTTCAACCAAACAAAAGTGTAGTTTCTTATGGTATTCTGTATGTTTTACGTACACCCTGCTATATCTTATAGAGAGCCACATCTAGTTCTGGTTTTCCACTCAAATTAAAACAACTGCTTTATCTTAATAACTATGAGTAATTAATTCCCCACTTAGTCGATATTCCAAAAGAATTTCATACTGCTTGGCCCTCATAAATATGGGGTCAAACGGTTTCGTACCTTTCCAGAAAAAGTGTAATGGAATCCATTCGGTCCTAAGCGATTTAAAAGGGACTTGAAAGCAAATCAAGTACATTAATTCTTAATAAGTGGTTCATGCTTCATATGCTTACTCTTCTTGTGATTAAATAGATCCACATATAATTGTAGATAGATTCGTATCTTTATTAAGATTGTATGACTTTACTATGATTTGGCATTGAGCAGTTTTTTCCAATCTATGAGACTTCAACTGGAGCTAGTGGCGCGAAAAAAGCATTAAGTGGATATATTATAGTAGACTGGAGGCGTGCTGCTAATATGGATCCGTACGAGGTCACTTCCAAAATCCTCGAAACAACCATCCTTTGGAAGCCAACTTTGTGGGAGATCTTAGTTGCCCGGCTTGCTATGATTCCTTTCCCCGGTTGGGTGAAAAGGATCTTTCGTCATTTCGTTTGTTAATGGAAAGCCTATCATGATATGTATATCTCCCTTGTTGTGATACCAGTCATATTTTATACCAAAAGATCCTATGTATGTTGGGAATGGGTAGTTCATGTGCTTTGAACCCCAAAACTATACTTTCTTTCTTTGTTTAAACCTTTAAGTTGTGCTTCTAATTATTTGGATGAAACTTGTAACGAGAAACCGATACCTCGAGGTTCATAAAGCTGTAATTTAGGAGATGAAACTTTTGTGGAATTTCAGACTGTCCCTTTTGTTTATGGGACTTAAAGTATGGTGAATGATTATTTTCCTGCGATGATAATGTTGTTATCCCGTTTTATGTTTATGCCACCTCCTTTTTCCTTAGCCCCAGAAAATCTTATTAGAATAAAGGAAAAATTAGTCTGTTGGTATTTCAAGTTTTAATTTAATTAGGACTTCATCCCTCACTTTTGATCCAGTCATTCCACTTTTAATTTATTTAAAACTCAAATTGTGATCTTTTCTCCTTTAATAAATTAATTCTTATCATATGTAACTCACTCTGATGAGTCATCATTTAATTATCCTACAAAGTAATGTTGCTGACGTGGCTTCCAAATAAGCTCTCCCCATTGATCTCCCAAACAGTCCCCCCCGTGTCCCTTTCTTCTTCTTTGTTCAGGCCTCCACCTTCACACACTCATAGCATCGGCACCCATTCCCCTTCACTGCTTGCTTCAATTTTCGATGCCCATAAGTTCTTTTCCCCCCTTTCACTCCATCCCGTTGTAATTTTCTCCATTTGACCTCTTCTTTCCTCCCTTTTCTCCGATTATTTTCAGATTTAAGGAATTTCAAAACTTAATTTTTGGGGCTCATGCATCATTCATAGCGCGGGCACCTATCCTTTCAACATCTTAATATGCTTTGATAAGAACGATTCACTAAATTAGAAAAATTCCCTGAGTGTATGAAGGTGGAGGTTTGAAGGGAAGAAGAAAGGGAGACACGAGGGACTGTTTGTGTGATCAATGGGAAGAGCTCGTTTGGAAGCCATGTCAGTAATACTATTTTACCATAGGATAATTAAGTGAAGACTGAGAATGAGCTATATATGATAAAGATTAATTTATTAAATGGAAAAAGATTAGAGACTGAATTTTAAATTAGTTAAAAGTTGAAGGATTTAATCATATTGAGTAATAGACTAATAGTTGACAGACTAAATCATAAATCAGTAAAAATTTGAATAAATAAAGGATTAATTTTTCTAGCATAAATTTTTGTGTTATTACCCTTTTTTTGCCATAAGGTAGACAGACTAAATCATATTTATAAGGTAGTGAGAAGTTTGTTTTAATTCTTTTTATAAGTCATGTTATTAAATTTTTAACATGAGTGTACTATTTTATTCTTTATTTATTAAGACAGATAGTTATTTTTTAAAAAACAATGTGTATATATTAAGTAGAAGTAACATAAAAAAAATTGTTATATTTAAAGAAAAAGTAATGCAATTCAATGTTTTCTTTTATTTGTATTGAATATGTTAGAAATACCTTATAAAAGTGTTTTTTTTTTTTTTAAGAGATTCCTCCAAGTATCTTTTCGCGCGAATTTTGTCTCCCGAAAAGTATGGCGCGCAAAAACGCGTGTGGATGGAAAATGACAAATTTTCCTATACCTTCCTGAATTTTCACCGTAACAAGCGCCCTAACTCCTTACCCTTTATCAAAAGAATAAGAATACTTTCACCAAAAAAAAAAAAAACAGAAGACAAGAATAAGAATAGTTGGCAGTGTACAGATTTTATATTCGCCCAAGATGATCCAATCATTGTGGGCTGATGATGCTGATCAATTGGCCCAATTCTCAGCGACGAGATAATTGTCATTCCCCCTTCTTTAGTGCCTTTCTCAAAAATAAAATTGGGAAAATTGAAATTGGAGAACAATATAATGCATCAATATCTATTGATAATTCTCTCATGACCCAAGATTATATTTGGTCCCAAAAAGAAAGATTCATTATATAGGCTTCGTGGCTCCATGGACGAGTTGTTACTCAAAGAAACTACTATTTCAAAATCTGACAAAAAAAAAAAACTACTATATTTCAAAAGCATTTTTCTATTTTTAAATCAAACGTGGGCCGTTAGCCCATTCAGCATCTCCTTGCTCTTTTAGGGAAAAAATAATAATAATAATAATAATAGTTGTCAAAAGATAGTCTCCACAAAGCACATTAGATTGGATTGCTCCTTGCGTTGTTGAAATGGATATGCTCTCTGTCCAATGATAATGAACTAAGAAGGGACCCAACTCTTTTCGCCCCTTTTTGAAAACCTCCAACATCATTAACCTGCGTGCACTCGCTGTGTACCACTCCGAATTTTAAATAGTGTTTAGATGGGATCAAAATCATAATTTTAAAAATATTTTTATAGTATTTAAAATAAATGTGTGTAGGAGTTTATCTCGATTTATGAAAAATATTTTTAAAAAGTATTTTTCATAATACCCAACACCTCCTTTAATATTATAAGTCGTTGCAACATATTTGACAAAAAATTTAATTTTAGTTTTATTAAATTTTGCATATTGATAAATTATAAATTATTTCATATATCTCTTCATTTTTTTCAATAAGAATTCAATAAAAATAAAATTAAAAAAAGCATTAGAATTGACTTACATAGAAGCGAAGTGATATATCATTTGACATCAAGGATTATATATGAATTTAGCCATTCATTAACCATAATGTCCGGCTTACTTACATAAGGTTTTAGTTTGGCACTTTAACTGTGTAAGGCCTTTTTCCGGTCTTTCAATCCTCTCGTTACATTTTTTTTAGAGTGTATCGTTCTTCAAGTCATTTTGAATTTGAGAGGAATGAGAACATTAAAGTTAAAATTCTCTCAATTAGTATGTTTGTTATCATTTGAATTTGTATTTTTCTCTTTACTTAGGTAAAACTGTTTACCATTTTAACTAAAAATTTATTGGTAACTTAAATTTATATAATGATGTTTCCACTTGCCATCCAATTCCGTATTTTATAAGATGGAGACCAGTGCTATAGAGGGATGGAAGCCTCAAAGAGATTCAAAAAAGGAAAAGGAACGAAACAAAAGGGCACTTTACCTTGGGTTAATTTTACCAACGTATGATGTATGTTTTTAGTATTATTCAATATCTGAAATTAATTTTTTTAGTCTATTTAATACTCTAGAGAATTTATTTAGTACCACTCAATCACCAATATTCTAAAATAATTTTGTGTGAATTTTTGTCTTTAAAGTATTTTTTTTCCAGCAGTTACTAGCACATTAAATTTAAGACATTGGGTAGCGTTGAAAGAATATTTTAAGTTGTTTGGTGCACTAAATATTGATTTGGGATATTGGTAGCTACTAGAAAAATGATGTTGAATGCACTAAAAATTAATACATCCAATAGCTTGATATAACTAATTTATGAATATTAAAAAAATAATTAAATTAATTATTTCTATTTATAAAAAATTTGTTTTAGTTTTCCTGAACTACCCTATTAAATCAGCGCATTAAAACTATCTCTTGATTAATTGAGAGTCTTCTTAACATATGTAATTAATAGAGATACTTAGATCAAAAAATATAAATTTAAGAGATAAAATAAATTAAAATCTTATTATATATATATATGTGTGTGTGTGTGTGTTATAAGACCAAGATGAATCTTTTGTCTAATTCATATACGTCTGAAGGGAGATAGCAGTTTAGAATATATAAAAGGTACTTCAAATAGATGCTACTTAACTTA